TAGTACAAAAGAGAAGTTGAAGAGACAGGTTATTTTAAAAAAAATAGTAAAATACAGTACTATTTGTCACTATTGATTTCGGATAACGTGAGTAATGTGTATTTGCTTTTATGTCAAAGTCTTTTCTTTGACAAAACTACATTGTATTTTAGCAGCACGTGGACCGTGTCCATTGTCCCATTTAGCATAAGCAAGTGCCTTCCTGTCAAAGGCAACGCCGTAAATGATGGCGACGATCTGCTGAGGACTGTTTGAGCCGAATGTGTTGACTTGCCTGCTGAGGATGTGGAGGCTGGAACACATGTTGAGATGCAAATAAATGATGCGCTGCGGGGGGGGTGTGCCCGACCTCCCCCCTCTGCAGTTTGACTGCCCACTCTACTGTCTAAAAGTGTCTCTTTGTTGCTGTTCAAATTGTACTTGAAAGACACTCCCTCCCTCTCAATCTCGCTCTATCCCCCACGCGTTTGATTGAGGCTGCGGTTAAAAAAAAAAAAAGCCCACTTGGCCATCTGGATGCGGTTCCGTTGGGATACGATAAGTCATGTATGTGCTGTCATTAACACTTCCTCTTTGTCATTATCCAGCCATCCATTTTCTAATCGGCTTGTCCTCACGAGGGTCATGGGCGCGGGCGTCCTGGAGCCTGACTTGGAGCATAGACCAGGAAATGGGTCTCTGTCTAGGCTTTAAAAAAATGACACAGCTCAGGCAGCACGGTGGACCTAGTGGTTAGCATGCCTGTTTCACAATGGAGAGATTCTGAATTTGAATCTCAGTAGTGTGTCAGTCCAATCAATCTGTGGGATCTTATTTTATTATGAAGATGCCTTGCGGCTGCTTGCATTTTTAAGAGACTTAAAAAAAAAAAAACGAACATAAAAACTGTTTATTAAGATCTCATCGCCAGATGTAAATACACCACAAATTTTACCGTGAAGAAAAGCCTTCATCAAAGTGTCCACCGTTACGCGTGTCCTTTTGACCGTCATAGAGTATTCAAATGAGCAGAGTGGGCATTAGCATAAAGCCTTAGCAGGAAAGTTGATTAGTCGATGATCACGAAATGACAGAAAACATACAAGACAAAACCGTTGAGTTTCATATAGTTTTTTTTAACTGGTTGTTGTTATCACTTCATGGAGTTTGTTCGACGGTGCATAATGATTGTCCGTTAGAGTAAGTACAGCTGGGAGGGAATTCTGTTCAATTCCCATAATACCCCTCAAAATGTGTGAAAAGCCGACGCCATCTGTTTGTCGCCACCAACATTTGTTTTTTGTTTTTTTTTTGCATGTGTGTGTGTATATATAGTGCTGGTAAATAGCCCTAAAAGCATCGAAGACGTGAGCTCCTAAAGTCAATTCTCTACCCCTGCGCCTTTAAGATGTTTGGCAAACACGACTGTGAAATGAGAGAGGAAAAATTACCAGAAGAGGAGAAATCTGTGAAGAACAAACGAACAGCAGGTGGTTGGGGCTGGTGAGGGGGACGGGGGGGGGCAAGCCGTTCAGGTGGAGATGCCACACAGATGCAGGCGGGCTGCGCGTGTTTGAGGCTGCACTGGGCGCGTGGATCATGTAGTATTTGGAGTGTGGTTGAGAGAGAGAGAGCGATAGACGAAGACATGGTGTGAGGTGAGTGTGAGGTTTGCGCATGTGACGTGGTGTCTGGTAGCGAGAGTGCTTCTGCCTTTGTGTGAGTGTGGCGTGTCTGGAGTGGAGTAAAAAAAAAAAAAGTGTGTGCATGTAAGAGAGGGAGATTGAGATGTGTGGTGTTTGTTGCGTGAGAGTGTGTGTCTGGAGCCAAACTGTTGTCTGCCAGCGCGTGTATTGGGGTGTAAAGTTGGTGTGTGTGTGTGTGGATGTGTGTGTGTTGTGTGTGTGTGTGTGTGTGTGTGTGTGTGTGTGTGTGTGTGTGTGTGTGTGTGTGTGTGTGTGTGTGTGTGTGTGTGTGCGAGAGACACCGAGAGACAGAGAACGTGACTGTAATGGAAATGTACCAGACCAGAAGGCTGCCATATGTGATCAGACAATCACGGTGTAGCAGCATGTGGCTGATTATCCAAGGTTATTTCGAACACCCTCTCCCAAGTCACTGGACTAATTTCCATCACGAGGCGGCATAATTTTTAGTCCGAAATGTAACGGCGGTGTAAAAAAATCGTAACGACAAATACAGCACATTTGTGGGACAACCTCTGATACTGCATTCTGTACAATCTCACCATTTTTTTTTGGGGGGGGGGGTCTCTGCTTGTTGTCCAATTTTGATTACAGCCTCAACAGTGAAGAACAGGCCCGTATAAACACGTCGCTATGACAACATCAGTCATACATAGCTGTCGATTTATGCAAAGAGAACTTTGTGTGTTCATTATTATTCCGAGATATGAGATGAGCATTTTAAATGTCAACACGTGGTGGTGGTGGTGGTGGTGATGTTCTTCTTCAAACATACGCATGCAAACAGTCGGTGTTGTGTGCAGGTTGTCCTCGAGGTTCGCTGGGCACACTGCAGCGCCCACATACTGTCTGAGCCCACGCCACCTTATTAATGAGCGACCGCTAACAGATATGCTCTTAAAAAGGTGACTGGGAAACTGGAGCCATTTTGAAATGTGCCTGTCGTAGGGGAAAAGGGGGGTGGGCACCAACGGCATTGTGGCGAGCGGGGCTTGAATTTCAGAGATAGCCGGTATCATCAAAGTTCATCACATTATGACGAACATGTGAATGTCAGAATCTTATTACACAGCCAAGATCTTGCTCAAAAAACAAATGTCAGCTGACTGCTCGTGTCAAAGCAAAGGTTAGATGAAGCAGGAGTAATAATCCACCAGGGGGTGAAAATCTTGGAGGAAAATAAATGTCACAGGTAATTATGGCGATGTTTAGGACGAATCTGACTAATGGTGATCTTACGCCGAACGATTTTTACAGTCACGGACTAAAAACGGGAAGTGAGGAGGAAATTTGAGTTTTATTGCAAGTCACAGTTAGGCCCGTCGCAATAACATTTTTCATTTTTAATAATGGATGAACTTGTATTCCTGTTGTTAGTCGAATCCCTCCGCTTATTCTTTGCTTCTCTCACTCCGTCACTAGAATTTGAGTGACCGCTGATGTAACCTAATGTGTCAGCCTCTGTCCTTTGCTCGAACAGGGCCTCGGGCACCCTCTGACCAGCCTCTCTCACGCTTAATCAGGCGGGCCAGTGCATTTGACATGTCTCAAATTTGCCATATTGTTTTCAGTTAAAGATTATAGGCAAGGAAATGGAGCCCTAAAACGGTAGCTTCCTAATTTAAAAAAAATCCAAAAATCCATTTCTTGAATGTCTGTGTCATGTAGCAATGTCTTCTTTTTGTTTCCCCATGTTAATTTCAGCTCTACTTGCATTTTCACTCACTTAATTTCATTCCAAGATGACGAATAATCATCTCTGAGTTGGGACAGATTGCAAATGAGTGCCTGAGGTGAAGGACGTCAAAGGAGTTATTAACGCGCTCTGAAACGGGAGCAGGTGATCATTTTAAGAGCCGGTGAAAGGCGCGTTCCCTTTTTTGCTGCATCATGTCAAACTCAGACACTCATTAAAAAGCATTTGTCTTTTTTTTTTTTGTCCCTCAGCTCATCGGCAGAAGGAGATTTTGACAACATTCAACTGCTTTTGACACGTGCTTTTCGAAGTGTGTCTGTTGGTATTTCGGGAGGGTCGTACATCGAAAAGGATGCACAAACATGATATCAAAGGATCAGTTTAGCATCGTACGTGCCTCAGCGGGGATGGCCCTGTGATCGAGCCTGACATGCTTTGATCAGTGGCCTTTTGCCCTTTAGCTACTTTGTATTTGCGAAGCGTAAACGGCCGCCTTCACTCTCCTGCTGTGATCGGTCACTTTGTGAACTACCAAAGCGAGTGATGTTGTTTTGATCGCTACATGTCATCAGGAAGAAGATCAAATGTATGTGAAACGCTGAGGCCAATGTGGATAAAATGCAGATATATCCATTTGGTTAGTCAAAGCAGGCCAAAGCCTGATTTCTTTTGGGGAAGGGAACTCGTGATTGTCAGTGGCGATATTATGTGTGTGCTGTGCTGTACTGGTCATATTGAGTGTTTTAAGATTTTTTTTTTTTTTCCTTGCCATCTCTTAGGTTTCTCTATTAACCCTTTCACGCACCCTGTCACCTGATAACATGATAAGCTGTCCACTGTAGTAACCGCTGTACCTGAAAGGGTTAAAGAAACAAACGAGAAGACAAACTAAAACAAAAAATGTCACCCTATCCGCAATTTTTTTTTTTTTTTTTAACTGACTCCAGAAGGCAAATGGTGAGCGTGTCCATCTAATCCAGTGGTTCTTAACCTGTTTAGACGTACCGAACCCAATCAATTAATAGGCACATTCACCGAACCCTTCATGAGTGAAAAATATATATTTTTTAACAAATTCAACATATTAAAAAAAAAAAAACTTTTTTTAAAAACAGAAAAAATAAATAAAATTTCAAGAGATAATTATACTTTTTTTTTTTTTAATTGTATGACGTACTATCAAGACAGTCACGTTGACTACCGAAGCGAAGTAAATTTCCCACAGCACTGATTGGACCATCAATGTCATGTGATCATCTGCAGCCAGTGATGGCCAAGCGGGCGTGTCATAACTAATTAACATGTTGAGTTGCGTGTGTCTCACCCTCCATGGCAGATTCTCCGTCGAACCCCTGCGGTTCGATCGAACCCAGGTTAAGAACCACTGATCTAATCCAAATTCCGTATTTTATATCTTTGTGAACCCAAAAGTAGCCCGCCCGCTAACTAACAAACAGATGGACAAGCAACACCTAAAATAATGCTCCGCAATGGATCTGTCTCCACCCCTAAAATCAAAAGTGATACCGTCTTGTCATACATGAACTTCCAACTTCCGTCTGTAATCTTTTTGTGTTACTGTAAAACTCATCAAATTCTCTCCCATCTTGTCATCTCAGGTGTCCCGCCCAGTGATTGTAGCTCAGAGCCGAAGAAGAGGAGGAGGAGGAGGAGGAGGAGAAAAAAGCAGAAAGGGTGCCATGGGGGTCAGCCTCAGACAGGATGTGGTTTGGCTCCTGCCGTTCTTCATCCTGCTGGTGACGCTTAATCTGCGGCCCGCCCGGGGTCAAGTATGTCCTCAGCGCTGCGAGTGCGTTGCCAAACTCAAGACGGTCTCCTGCCACGGTAAGAGATTGTCTGCGCTGCCTGACGGGATTCCACTGGACACCAAGATCCTGGACCTGAGTGCGAATAAACTGCGCTGGGTGGAGCATGGCGATCTGATATCCTTTTCCAACGTGGAGAAGCTGGATCTCGGTGAGAATATGATCAGTGTCCTGGAACCGAATGCTTTTTCTAGTCTGCAGAGCCTGCAGTCGCTTTCACTGAGGGGTAACCAATTAAAACTGATCCCCACGGGGGCTTTCTCACACCTTTCAAATCTCACCTCTCTGGACCTTAGTGGGAATAAGCTTGTGATTCTTTTGGACTTTACTTTCCAAGACCTGAAGAGTCTGCGGAACCTGGAAGTTGGCGACAACGATCTGGTGTATATCTCCAACAAGGCCTTTTTGGGTCTGGTGGCACTGAGAGAGTTGACCATCGAGAGGTGCAACTTGACTTCGGTATCCAGTCAGTCTTTGTCCTACCTCCACAACCTGGTAACCCTGCGGCTCCGCTACCTGGGCATCTCCACGTTAGAGGACCAGAACTTTCGTAAGCTGGGAAACCTGAGGGGTCTGGAGATCGATCACTGGCCCTTTTTGGAATACGTCACCCCCCACAGCCTCCAGGGTCTCAACTTGTCATGGTTGTCCATCACGCATACCAACATCACCTGCGTGCCCACGTCGGCCCTACGAAGCCTCTCCCACCTCACCAGCCTCAACCTATCCTTCAACCCGATTTCGGTCCTGGAGTCCTGGTCGCTGAGAGACCTACTCCGGCTGAAGGAGCTGCATCTGGTCGGCACAAGGCTGGCGACAGTGCAGCCGTACGCCCTGGGTGGTCTCCGTCAAATCCGCCTGCTTAACCTCTCGGCGAACAACTTGGTGACTCTGGAGGAGGCAGCCTTCCAGTCGGTCAACAGCCTGGAGACACTCCGTTTGGACGGCAACCCACTGGCCTGCGACTGCCGCTTGCTTTGGATCCTTCAGCGTCGGAAGACGCTGAATTTTGACGGCGCCTCCCCGGTGTGCATGACGCCCTTGGAGGTGCAGGGGCGATCCTTGGGCGCGTTCTCAGATGCAGCCCTCTTTGATCATTTCACCTGCCAGAAGCCCAAAATCCGCAACAGGAAACTGCAGCAAATATCGGCTCGCGAGGGGCAGGTGGTGTCCTTCGTTTGCAGGGCGGAGGGGGAGCCCACGCCGGTGATCTTCTGGATATCTCCGCAGCGGCGTCGCATCACGACGAAGAGCAGCGGCCGCTTGACGGTCTTAAAGGAAGGCACCTTGGAAATCAGGTATGCCCAGGTGATGGACACCGGAACCTACATCTGCATTGCCAGTAATGCAGGAGGGAATGACACGTACTTTGCTACGCTCACAGTCAGCGGGCTGCCACTCGACGCCGCCCTCATGGCCAACCGCACCTACTACGCCGGGGACCTTAACGACACAAACCTGAATGACACGAGAGTTTTCCTCAAGTTCACTCTGGACCTGAAGACGATCCTCATCTCCACGGCGATGGGCTGCATCATGTTCCTGGGGGTGGTCCTCTTCTGTTTCATCCTGCTCTTCGTGTGGAGTCGCGGGAAAGGACAGCACAAAAATAATTTCTCCGTCGAGTACTCTTTTAGAAAAGTGGACGGGCCGGCCACCAGCGGAGGGCAGGGCGGTGCCCGCAAGTTCAACATGAAGATGATTTGATCCTCCTGGAGAGCTTTTAAACTTTTTTTGGATTGCTTCTTTGCTCATCTCTGACAGGAAATGAGGACACCTGAAGGATGGCTGCCTTGCTTGAGATCACTCATGTGAATGTTGAGAGGACACAAGTTGGCACTGATCCCCACCACACACACACACACACACACACACCGACGCACACACACCACCACATACACTTAATTGTACAGTGTTCTTTCCCTAATGCTGTTTTTCAATGTCAAGGACATTAATCACTTTCTCTTTGTGCTTGCAACGTTGACCACATTTGTTTTTGACATTCTGGGAGAAAAACAACCTCGAGTCATGAGAAACTATTCCAAAGGTGTATATGTAACATCCGAGTGCGCTTTGATGAGAGTTACTCACGGGAAGGGATGATAATGACAACCTCTGACGACTGAGCTTTTGAACATGTTATTCTCTGTGTTCTGTTACAACTGGAAATGAAACCAAGCAATGAAAACATGCTAGGATTTTAATCCGTATCTCCGGTCACTTCCTCCTTCGAGCACACCATTTCCACAAGACATTAAACAAAACCACTAATCGCTTTTACACGGGTCTTCGGTTTTCCACAGAATCCACATGAGACATTTCAAGGATACAAACGGCGTGCAGTGAATTCATAAGAATATATTGCCACGCTCATTTACCCCCATACTATTTATTTTTCATTCATTAATTCGTTCTAAATTTGAAAAAAATTCCCGTTTCTTAACATGTCTGTGGCATGCAAAAAACGAAACAACAAAAAAAAAAAACCTCAAGTCATCTTCAACTTAGCAATCGTGTGCTGCTGATCAGAAGCTAACCTTGCTAGCTAACGCGAACGTTTACATCCAACCAAACTCAGTGCAGCCCTGCTTACCTTTTGCCATTGACATGACACCAGTGTAAGATGTGGTTGTTTCCTCGTGGTGGCCTCTCCCCATGACAGCGTTTCAGCCAGTGTCGTGCAGCAGTTGCTTGAAAGTGCCTCTGGATCTTCACCCAGCCTATCTCATCATATCATGGGTGCAGAAACTTGTGGGGGCAGTTATGTAAATGAGCCCCACTGTTATGTCACGTAACACTGCAGTATGACTCGCTCAGAGACACGTTTTCAAAATAGGCAGACAAAATCGTGACTTGATTTGATTTGGCACTCGATGGGTGGGACGGCACTCCAGTCACATAACTATTTGTAGAAAGGCCATAAAATGTCATTTTCCCATCATGTGTCCTCCTTAAGGCTCAAGTCAAAATGGGCCCTTAATGTATTTACAAAGAGACAGTACCAGAAGGATTAAATGGGAATATAGTGTCCAAAATGTACGATACTGTTTAGTATTCTATTGCTTCCTCGTGGCTTGTTTTATACAAAGGTTGTGCAATCACATTTTACTGTTCATTCAGCTGTAACTTTTTTTTTTTGCAAAGCAGGGTTATGTCCCTTACATTTTCTCTGTCTCTCTCTTTCTTTCCGCCGTCTCAAACTGATCACACTCCCCGAGCTCATAGCGAACGTGACCTTGTGCACTGGCACAAAGTGTTGTGATGAAAAGATGAACGAGAGCTCAGTGGGCCGTAATCTTGTTACATAGGAATGGAGTTGCAAGAGAAAATTGCAGGTTCTTTTCCAGAAAGATATCAATGGAAGTTTAGCTAAGGAATACAAAAGAGGGACGCTTTCCATAGGAATGAATGGGAATTGACTTTACACACTGCAGAACAAAGACCGGATCTAAAAAGTCTACACACCCTTGTTCAAAGGCCAGATTTCTGTGACAAGAACTAATAAGACCAAAATAAATAATTTCCACCATTAGTGTCCCTTAACCTATACAAATCAAATGAATTTTTAGAAAAAAAAAAACAGTTTGAGAATGAGATAAACAACTGAAATCATGTGGTTGCAAAAGTGGGCACACTTATGTTAAAAATTAACCCATCACAATTCTGCTCGTATTCAATGGGTGCCAGCACACATCTGCCACCATTGAAAGAGCAAGACTAAATATTTTGTGCTATCACTGCCTGCTATTTGGAGGTATTCATAATTCCTTGCACCTCGGAAAAGGCCCCAGTTCCATCTGAAACAAAAAAACAGCCCCAAAGCATGATGCGCCCATCAACAAGCCTCACACTAGGTATGATGTTGTTTTGGTGACCAGCAATGTTGTGTTTTGTGCCAAACACACCTTGTGGCCAAACGGCTCATTTTCCCAAAATAGTTTTACACTCAAAAGCAAAAAAAAAAAAAAAAAAAGAAAGATGTCAGGTAAAGCCGACTACAACATCTGAACATGGTTTTAACCCTTTAGAGGACAGCGATTACGACAGTGGACAGTTTATCAGGTACAGGGTGCATGAAAGGGGCATGTTAAAAGGTGGCAGGCGTGAGCTGACTCCCTTGTAACAAGAGTTGGAATGGAATTGGTGAGTTCAAAACATAGCCACATAATATCAGTTTTACTTGGAGCTTTTTTTTTTAATCAGTTAAAGTGTGTGGATTGTAGGTCACCTTAATTGTAATTTTTATCTCAATGTCAAACAAAACATGGCATTTATTTGAACAGGGGTGTGTGGACATTTTGTATCCTCTGTGATCATGAACATTCACAAAGTTGAACGCTTCAACAAGTATGTTTCGCATTACCTTTGCCTTTTCAACGGGATGCTCCTACAGAATTTTGCCGATTATGGCTTGTTTCCAAACTTGTGTTGCAAGACCCCCCCCCCCCCATTCAAATTGAAGGACAAAATTGAAACTTTTCCTTTTTAATCCCGAAAAAGTCACATTTCTTCTCATTAATTCTTATCGAAGAATCACTGTTAGGATGCAAACACTGAACTGTTCAGTATTCCACTTCATAATCAACGAAAATCAAATATTAATGGCCTCATTAGTTTACACACTTGATTTAGTTCCGCTCAAGGCATTTCTCTTCGAGTGGAACTTGACATTGGCTCCCCACACTGTTAACTTCAAGCCACACACTTATTACTCTGCTGCCATCTGCTGTATTACCTTGTACTGGTTTGGTACAAGTTTGGAATTACAAACTTGCATTTTTTTTCATTGTCTTTTGTTGAAATCATGCTGTAAATATTGAAACCACTGCCATTGGAAATTGTGCTGCTGTTTTTAATGGTGGTGATTCATTTATATGTATGTATATATGAAAAAACAGAAAAGAGGAAGCAGAGTGTTCAGAAAGCATGCGATATGATGTCTTGTTCACTGAACCATTTTTATTGCAGCGAGTGAGTTTTACTTATTTATTTATTTTTAAATATTCATGACACCTGCAACACTGTGAAATGATTTGATTCCATTTTTACATTTGTCTTGGTCCAGTTTGAATGAGTCCAGCTGTGCAATTGTCGTTTCAGATTTATTCACCCAGAGACAAGATGGGGTCTTTATTGTTTATTTTGTGGGGGTGGGGGGAGTATCAAATAAAGGACGTTTTGTGAACAGAACAAACAAAAAATGATTCACCTTTGTGTGTTTATTAATTTAAGGAGGATATGAGCTTGTATTGTCTGTCCTACTCTATTTTAGGAAACTACTCTATGTTCGAATGTACTTGAGAATTCGTTTGAACGTGTTTGTAAGAATGGTCAAACTTATTTAAATACGTTCGAACGTACTCAGTGATACGTTCGAATGTACTTGCAGGCTAAATGCTACACACGTAGCACCCCCCCCCAATAATGCCACGATGTATTGACTTCAGCACGCACAATCTTTTGGCCTATAGTATACCAATATGTTTGAAAATTAATTTTTATTCAGAATTTTATAGTTTTATTATGTCTGGGGGCATGATTTACGGTTGGTGTTTTCCCCATAACGCCACGGAATATGCACTTGCTCAAGTCAATACACCGTGGCATTATGGGAAAAAATGCTACACTTGAAGCATTTAGCCTACAGGTATGTTCAGACGTATTTGCCGGTTGAAAACTGTTACTTTACATCGGCAGTTCCGCGCTTCCATAATTTTTCTCTCGACTTCAACTCAGAAAAAAATACCACAAAAACGGTTTTGATCACAACTACCGAAGGTTTCATCCTTTTTTTTTCACGGTGACAGCAAATTTGCGGCAGCGACAACGGTGAGAGCCAGTGGCAGTAGTACTGCTGTCAGTGTCAGACGAGAATAATGCAGTAGGGGTTAAATTCCGACACGACTGGCACTTTTCATCACGAAGAGGTGAGTACTAAAGCCGTCGAAGGCCCCAGGATGGGGTTTGCTTTGAGGGGTTTAGTTCGAGCTGTCGTCCCCGTGAGGGGACTGTCTTGTCTCAACTTGTGGTGAATCTGGGGGAAAACCCGTGCAGGTTGCGGTTTTGGGCTCATTTGTAGGGGGAGATGTGATGAGCGACCCGACAGGAGTGGCTAAGAGCTGGGTGGAGTAGGTGCATACCGGCGTGGAATAGATACCGATCGGCGTGTACGAAAAGCCAGTCACGCTGTTGAAGCCATGCATGGGGATGACGAGACCAGGGTGCGATAAGTACCCGTGGCGCTCGGAAGTGTAGAGGAGGGCGTAGTGGTCTTGGAGAGCCAAGAGTTGAGCACGCAGACGGATGTTCTCCTCCCTCAGAGCAGCGACGTGGCGTTCCAGCATGAAGTCGTGCAGCCTCCTCTTGTCGCGGGAACGCTTGGCTGACTCGTTGTTTTTGAGGCGCCTCTGCCAGTAGGTGGCGTCCTTCTCGCCCTCAGGGGTGAACGTCCTCGTTCGCCGCGGTCCTGGCTTTCGGACCACGTTGTCCATTGACAACACGGGGCTTGCCGGAAGTGACATGACGAACACGCGGGGAACCTGAATTCAGGAGATTATTGATTCATTTGTAAATAATATTGGTCAAATGAACATTTTTTTTATATACACTATTGTGAACATAAATGATCATATGTCATAATAATTGGCTAATTAGCAATGTTTTTGTTTTGACGAATGTTTCTTCGTGATAATAAATGTGCTTAAAATCTTATTCAGCAATTGGTTAAGTGAATTATTATAAATAATACAATTCAAAATACAAGCAGAATAAAGCAATTTGGTCAAATCTACATTACAAGAACAATTTTAATTTTATAAGTCATTGTTTAATTAACATTGCTCAGTTAAAATGTAGTCCTGTCTGTATTATTACATTCATTTATGATTGATATATATTCCGCCTCTACTCCATCTCTCCTTTTAGGATTGCTTTTTATATCATGTTTTGTCATTATGTCAGCCTCTATGTTGACTTACAACACCGAATGAATTTTTACAATAAGTTCTTTATGAACTAAAAGCCTTGAAATTTACTCAATCATATTAACTGTCACATTTAAAACAGAAGTATGATTTTAATGTTTGCTTTCTCGTGATAAAACGTTTTAAAGATATTTTTTGTGTTTCTCATTTACACTGTTTGGCATACAAATGTTGAGACATATGGTTGGATATTCCAATTTTGTGTCGATTGTGGATAATGATAATGATGAAGAATAAGGAAAACGGAATAATTTACAAAATTTTAACCTCCAGTATTGTCCAACATTTTTTCTGACTTGTCTGATATTACAAAAACTAAATGTAAATAATATACATTTAAACAAGCCAAATTGTATTTGCGACAGTAATTAAAAAACAAACGCTTTTGAGTGTGTGTGTGTGTGTGTGTGTGTGTGTGTGTGTGTGTGTGTGTTTGCGTGTATGTGTGTACATATGTATATAATGTGAAATATATCTTATGTAAAAACACATTCAGTACATATTATGTGTAAACATTAAATAATGTGCGTCTTGACTGCAAGGAGTTTAAATGTGCCCAACACATACGAAACTGCTGCAACATCATTTCAGTACATATTTAATCAATAAAAATAATTGAGTGGACATTTCACTGAGTACTCCTGCACAGCCCAATTGAAATGCTTCATGGAAAAACAAACAATATAATGCATGAATTTGTTAATGTTTCTTTTAATGATTATACAGTATACCCGAAATGAGAGTTACAAAATATTAAAAACAGCGCTCCGTGTTATAGAGTGCAGTTCGACTACCATAAAGTCAACCTACTGTCCATCAAAAGTGAGCATTATTATTTTTGTAGAAGCACATTGAGGCCTTACCTTGTGCACCAATCTCCACTGTCTCGTACCGTGGTGAGATGTGCTTCATTGATGCTCGCACTGATTGTATCATTGTGAAACACTTCTGACTGATTTGTGTTGTGGTGACTGCCAACCCCTCTATGAGCAAAAGTATCATTTCAATCGGTGAACTGTGATGTGCGACCGTACAGTAAAAGTGATGCCATGGTGTTTTTGTAATTATCTCTGCAAGCCACTGTGTACTATTTCCCTCATTTTGTAGCTTGTATCCAGAATCTTGAAAAAAAAAACATTTAAGTCAATTGCCCGAATTTTTTAAAAAAAAAAAACATTTAAGTCGATTGACCGAATTTTTAAATTAATTTATTCTGTGATCAATAAAAACTTTTTTAAATGGACAAGTAACATAACCTATACAAGCTAATAAAGTCTACACACTCGTGTTGAAATGCCAGGCTGACCGACCAAATTGTTTCATTTCAAAACTTTTCCACCATGAATGTTACCCGTAACCTACCTAACTTGGGAAAAAAATATCTTTACAGTAGGAGAAGGAAAACTGCCTCTGACGAAACCCAAATAAAGTTCAGCTGTTCATGGAGGATTTTCCCGACATTTGTGCCGTCACATCTTACAGTACAAACCGTGATCTGCAGAGCTTCCTTAGCATCAGAGGGACCCTTTTGTTCAAAGGTATCAGTCAGGAGAATTTTTTCAAAATCATTTTTCAAGGCATGAAATAAGTGACGACAGTCATTATCAAGTGGAGAAAATATGGCACAAAATTGACACTACCAAGAACTGGAAAACTTTCAAAAATTTATGAAGAGACTTAAGACTATAAACTGTTCAGGGAGGCTAAAAGAGGCTGATAGCAACATTGAAGGAACTGCAGGAATTTCTGGCAAGTGCTGACATTTAGTACACGTAGCAACAATCTCCTGTTGCCTGTGCTATGGGGTAAAAGGGCAAGATGGAAGCCACTGCTACTGGGCCTTCGAAAACATGTAGGGAATTATGAACAGTTCCAAAGACTAATCAGTGTTAGCACAAAACATTTCCAGAAAGCACAACAATGTCAGAAAAAAAGCCTACAAGAACATCTCAACTTGATTTGAAATGAATCAGACGCACTGTAAATGGTGGCATATGTGTGCTCATTCCCATTGAACACATGTTTGAACATCTCCGGTTATGAGGGTGTGCACACGTGCACTGGGCCTTCGAAAACATGTAGGGAATTATGAACAGTTCCAAAGACTAATCAGTGTTAGCACAAAACATTTCCAGAAAGCACAACAATGTCAGAAAAAAAGCCTACAAGAACATCTCAACTTGATTTGAAATGAATCAGAGGCACTGTAAATGGTGGCATATGTGTGCTCATTCCCATTGAACACGTTTGAATATCTCCGGTTATGAGGGTGTGCACACTCGTGCAACCACATGATCTCAACTCACATTGTATGTTCACTGAGCTCAAATGTCAGAAGATTTGCCGACATTATGAAGCTTTGAGGCATTTTTTTTCCCCTGCTTCCACTGTTATCGAGGCCTGCTTTAATATACCATGAAAGTGAATGTAGTGTACAATACACGTTAGCCACTCTTCCATTGCAAAGTTGGTTGTGGTAAAACCCATATTGGAAATTAAAGGCATGCTCTGGAATTATTGCCTTGCGTCTATGTTTAGGGACTGTGTGCCCTGCAGACAGACCGGTGGCGTTATTACTTCCTGCAGCAGAGGTCCAAGAAAAGATTTGTCATGCGGCCAAGAACCACAACGGAACAGTTTCCAAGTATGACGGTTGTTTGATTGTGAAGATAGAATATCCTCCTGACTACCAGGAAAAAAAAATGTTGTCCAATCACATTTATTTTGAAATTCCCCAATCTATGTGAAGTAATTGGACTACTCCAAAAGAAATTTTTGAAATTCCACGACATTTTTTAAACACTTGAATACTAGGCTCAATTACACTTAAAACAACTCAAACAACACTTTAACGTGTTCATAAGAGTCTTATAAATAAAATGCCAACAGCATTTCAAGACAAAATGTGTTTGATAAAAAGTATTACTTTTCCTCTTCCCATAAAAAGTGCTTGCACTGAGGGAAGCCATTTTCTTACTTTTTCTAACCCCTACAAATTTGGTATCATTGGAAAGCACTGAATGTCCTCTTTAGAGTAACGAAGGAGTTAATGCGATTGGATGCACTGGGTGGGAGATATTTAGGTTTACAAATGTCCTCTACAGAGGACAAATTTGAACTACTGGTCGTCAGGAGGTTATCAGTGAAAAATAATACACACAAAAAGTTGTTAAATGTTGTGAACTATATTAAGTGTATCAGAATGAATAGGAATCGACATTTGTATTCCGTTTAGAGCCAACATTCGATCATTTCAAAGAAAGCCGGATCATGAAAATAACGCAACCGCCACACCCCCCCCCAACTCCCGCCTGACAAGTCAACGCATTGGATGACCACATTAAAGAGTGAAAGATACGAAATCGGTGTTCTGTGGAACATTGTGTTGCGTATGCAGTTGCGGGGGCTGCCCAGATCAGGAGTTGGGGGGTGTGACCTCTCAGCACCACTTGTCTTTTTCTGACTCACTCTAACCGCACATTCTGCCATGTTGCAAGACGACTGTCGCTTTGTCTGTCACTTTATTGCCTACAGTTTAAAGCAATCGAATCGTCTTCATGTGTGTACAGGAATTGACTTGGGTGGATAGAACAGACACTACTGTATTCAGTACCCCCAATCAGAACATCTGCAAAAACTCAATTTATGGATCACTTTTTGTTTGAAAGCTTCTTTTTACATATTTTGAAAGAAATACAGTTTTAAAGTTCTATTTTTTTTCCTATATGTACTTAAAAATCATTGAAGCATCCGTGCTGTGGGTCGTCTTTAGACTGCCACCTTCCCAAAACTACTGTCATATTATATTTTGACACCGTACAGTTTGAAAAAAAAAATCTGAAATATATTTATCAAATAAAGTGTGGTGATCTACTTTGTACACGCGGCGCTACCTAAAAAATACTCAGCTCTCCAAGTACCACCATGATGACCCACATTAAATATACAGTGGCGTACAGAAGGCCCAAGTGTTGATCAAAAACAAGGCTGAGGTTTATGTCCCCAGACCAGAGGTGGGAAACTCCGGTCGGTCCTTGAGGGCTGAATGTTTGAGATGACTCTGGATCATGCAGAGTTTACCCAGTAACACTGCGCTTAAATATCAGAACATAAACTTAAATGATTTGATTTAGAGGGTTATTTATGTATTTATTTTTTTAGAATTGATTAACCTACCAATTGTCCCACCCTCTTTTCCCAACCCTAATTCAAACACCATACAATCATGTATTGCACATAATAATTAAAAAGTTAGTAATTGCTCATTACTTTGATAATCAATTAATCATTTGGAGATCTTGTTTGATGTATCAAAAAAACCTACATTATTTTATGTTAAAATAAATGTGGAACCTTCAGCCCGAACTATACATGTGAAATAGTAATTCGTTGAATCCTTTACTGAGATAAAGCTAGCAAAAAAGGCTAAATGTACTGATTTCGTGCTTTCAGTAGGCGACAGTTGCGCCAACTGGTAGAATAATCTAAAAAGTCGTAATCCACATTGAACACTTTATTTATTTTAAAGAAAAAGTTTACATCAACTTCTGGATGCGTTTGATCAAAAGAAGGCATTTTATGGATAATTAATATGTTTTTGTTGTGATTGTTGTTGCTGTTGAGTTTCGTTTAGCTCCGCCATTTTGGAATAATTCAAGGAAGAGAGACCGAACGACAAGCGTTTTGAGAGTCTTATAAGAATAAAATAACAGAATGGCTCAACGAGTCAAAATGTTTTCTTGTGTCTTTTGCAGACCTTTACTGACATCTACTGGTACTTTTTTATTTCGCAGGAATGAAGGCCCAAGTTATCGTAAGTAAGCCACCTCCTGTGTGTTTGTAAAAGTAAAATGAACCATTAATTAACATGAAAGAGTTTATCTCCTTCAATTTGCCTTTTTTTAACTAAACATTCTACCGCCGAATTTACCGTCTATTTAAGTTCATGTTGAGTACAACCTTGCATTGTATATTTTGCACACATTCACATACGCTCACTGTGAGGGTTATTCATCAATTCACCGCTGTGAAGACACAGAAGGATATGAAAGTAGGACATTGTTTCAGTGTTTTCCTTCCAGGGTCAGGTAAAGTTTCGAACTGAGCACAGCTCAAGTTTCCCAAAGTGTCGGTCAGCTCCTAACCCCATCAAATCGCACTGGGTGTCGTGACTGCCGTACATCACCACCCCCCCACATGCACATTTTAAGAAGAACCAAACAGTTGACTTCGATTCGGGAGATTCCCATCGAGCGTTTTTTTTTTTTCTTCAATAATAACAATTGCAAAGATCATACATCACTTTTATTCTGCTCAGTCCAAAGCCTCCAATCTATAAAACCTTTTTTCAGTCATTTAAAAACTGTCAAAAGTTACTGTTTTAATTTGATTAATAAAATCATCGCCTAATTCATCATCATAATAAAAATAAATCACAAAAATGAATTATCACCTCAAAATGTATTTTTTACATACACATGTAAACCTTTTTTTGTCGCCATTTTAATTCATGCACTAAATATTTGAGTTTATAAAGACATTTTTGAACAGCCCAACATTTCATTGTTGGGCTGTTCAAAAATAACTACACTCTCTGTAAAGGAATAGTAAATGTAATACCTTTGTTTTAAAAGTTGAAATTGAGTGTGCAGTGTTCTCATTGTTCATGACTAAACAATAAAAGCTCCAACTGTTTGCGAATGTCTAAGCGTTGCATTTAAAACATACCGCATGCTAGTTATCTATCATATAATTTGGGGTTTATGTGTCATAGCATCATACACTACGGTATAATAAATACAGTACAGCAGTTAGTTTGTCTGCTGTTTAACTAAATGTAATGTTTTGTTTAACTCCCAGACACACTTATTTGCGTAAGGCATCACTGGAAGTACAAAGCTTAAAGTGATGTGCTGCAACTTGGGTAAAAAAAAA